TAACTTGATATCCCACTACATCTCATTATTCCCTGACTTTTTGATACTTTGACAATAACACTTAAATTGTGTTTCACGTTTTGATTTCCACAGAGAAATAGAGCACTTTGTACTTTAGAAACTGAGGAGAATGCAGCTCGTGAAAGTATATTGTACCCGGGATACGATGGACGGACATCGCTATGTGGGTCAGTCCTTCCTTATGCATCACTAGAGCATTGATCATCTCCGAGCCGTTAATCCTTCATAAACTGGTTAACCTTACCGCGAAGCTCGCTTACTCAGAAACCATCTTTTTATATATAACAGATTTAAAAATGACTTTTTCAACGCATTTTAATTTGGTTAGGGACAAAGGCAAACTGTGATGCAATATATAAAAAATTCATTCATAGTCACCTAAAAAAAATAAAAAGAAGAATAGCATTCAGACTTCTTGAGTAGTTGCGCTTAAAATAATTAACCCAAATATACTTTTATTATTCTGCTTTTAATAAATCTTTGTCCATAGTAAAATCAATCTTTTCTTTCGTAAGCTCTAAACAACGACATTGTTCGTCAAATACTACACCTATTGTTTTCTGGTCTTCAAAGATTAATACCGAAACGAGTATTCATGCACTTAGTGGTTTGTTTGCATAGCAAGAGACTTGGAACACAAACAAGACTACTAAACAGTGAATACTTTAGCTGACAAGCGAGCTGTTTTTGGTCCAAAAACCACTTCTGTATTACTTGCTGTCTTTTAGATTTTCTCTTTGGGGTAAGGACCTCGTAAGGACCACGTACTGTGCTTTGGTTGTGCGTTGTTGCGAGGTAATTTCTTCGTTTACATAAGCTGACAGAGTAAACGTGAAAATTAGACTCAGATTACACAAAGGAATACTTTCTTTTTGAAGACGCAAGTCAAAAACAAGGTATAGTGTCTTAATGTTATGAACTAAAGAGATAAGAAACTCGCTGTTGAGAAAAAAGGACACGTTTTGCAGTGAAGACGACGTTCCAGTGAACTTAAAGCACACCAATAATTACTACGTAAAACACACACAGTGTTTACTATTGATTAATCCAACTGCAAATTACTAAACCAGTAACACGAATGCTACTTGAGTTGGCAATTTAACCATCTTTAGTGCTATTTAAAGTTTGAAGTTAATGTCTAATGATGGAGGAAGATCTTGTCGTGCAAGCCTCACCGCTGTTTCTCTGCACATCTAAAGTCGCAGTGAGAGCCGATTGTTTGCGTCTCGAGAAGGACTGTGGTTGCTTGGAATTGCAAAAACCTCGCTCGAAAAGCGCTGGTAATGAAAATAAGTACTCGGAAAGAATACAATTAGCGCCGTGGGATATTGAACAAAACAACTTGGGTTTAATCTTAGGGCTAAACAATAACAATAACTCAAAAGAGTMCATGACAATTGTCGRAAGAATCAAACAATCATCRCCMAAATTCATGCGTAAACTCCAGAATTCAAAAAGYCCGAACGACGAAAATAGTCAGGAAATTACTACGAAATATAGCATAATTTCAAGGTTGTCCCCAAAGCTACCCAGAAAAATCCATCAAGATGGTCTCGGAAGTTCCAAAAATGGAAGCACAGAATCTAAAAGAGAGAATCCAATTGAAGATGGCTGTAATACTGAAAGTGGGGCTGCAAAGGGAAAGAAGAATTGGTCTAAGGTTAAATCTGCACTGAAAAAGCTCACAGAWACACGCGATGACATCAAACTTGATTTGCCATTTAGCAATCTCAATGTCCGCAGTCCATCCTCAGATTCATCCATTCCAATAAGTACAGAAAACGAGGACGCGCAAAGACTMAAGGGCGGCGATAAAAAAATAAAACTTGGAAGTCCTAGATCTCCTCGTTCAAAATCTAATAAGTTCAGCTTTTGGCCAACCTCAAGTACCGGAGATGGCAATCTCCTCTCGATCCCAAGCCCTAACGGTAGCATGCAAGACATTTCATGCACCTTACCAATAGTGGCTTCATTAAAGAAACGATCTAAATCTCCGATTGGTTTCCGAAGAAGTTCGGCTCCCGACGCCCTCCTCCGGAAAAGTATCGACGCATTTAATTTGTCGAAAAAAGCGAARGAAGCGAAGTTACGCTCGCAAATTGAAGGCAAACTCAAAGAAGCAGAAAACAAAGATAATGTGGTATTGTCCTGTTTGAGTGATGAAGAAATCAAAGAACGCGTAAATGATATTCTTCGAGATAATTTGAGGTATCTGGAAGAGTACATTCCTGATGTCTGCGAACGCTTGGGAAGAGAGATAAGCGAAACGATAGTAAAATACCTTCTTTCTATTGAAAAACCAATCGATAGTCAGAACAAATTTSCKTGCTTRGTGTACATTGGTGCAGTGATGGACGATGGGATATCTGCGGCCGCGCGTGCTTTGTGGAGCCCTGGAAACGATCGATTTATTGTGTCTGATTACCAAAATGGAATTCTCCATGCCATTGGCATTGTTTTGGCCATTCCCTGTTAAAATCTTATAATATTCTAAAGGTAACGATGCGTTCTTTCATGGCTTTAGGGGGAAACGAACACTAATTCCTCTCTAGCTTTGAACGTAAAACTGTTTGTCATTTTGCAGATAGCTTAGCGGGAATAGAAATCTCCATGCGACTATTCATAGCTGTAKTGTTTTTGAAAGGGTTCGAATCCCTTAAACTGAGAAAAAAATACTTGATTTATGCAATTACGAAAATGTATCTTAGGTGATAATCACACAAAAAATGCATAAAATATTTATAAAAGTATGACACAAAAGTTTTTAAAGCTCTTTCCAATTTTTTGTTAGTCTAAAGACACTAAAGAGGTTGCCAACACAAACACGAGAGGAAACGGAAGCTATCAACATACTCTTTCTTTMGGCATTGTATCTCAAAAGATTTGGGTTTAAGATTCCATTGAAATGATTCAAGTTATTCCATTAGTTTACAATGAGCTAATCCTTAACGTTGTGATGCACTCCAATGGCTTTAAGATGTACTTATTCTTCATTTGAACCAATAATTATAAAATATTTGATTGACAAGCCAATCAGATGCAAGGAGCTGGAGTCCTATCATATATCACAGATTCACACGGACTGCTTGGTCTGTTTGGGTCCCAAAAAATCAAAATGTTTTCAGTTATTTCSKSGCTTTATCGACACAAAAACCCGTAATTGTGTTATTAAGTCATTGTCCTTTGACTCTGGAGGATTTTTCTTTTTTTAGAGGTAAGTTTTGTACACTTTTGTGGTCGCGTTTGGATTGTGTTTGTTCTGTACCGCTTGTATGTGGACTTCATGCTTGACAACACTCACCGAGCTCAAAATTAGATTAGTCTTTAACTAAAATCCTTTATTTCGTCTTCATAACCTCCGATGGCGTCTCCGAAACACAATAAACTGAAAGAATCTGTTTTCTTATCGTCTCTGATCCGTATAACTCGCTTTCGCAACCAAAGTTTTGATCAAAATGTAAAAGTTCATTGTAATAACGCGAAGCGTTTAGCGACCCGATGCGATTTCGYTTTTAACCAGAGCCAACATTTAACATWACTGAGTAAAGATTATTTGCTGTGGTTTCTACGAGTTAAAGCTTTTTTCCAAACATCGYTTAGGACAGCGTCCATGATGTCCTCTTTGTTGACATGCATCCAAATTATGCTCAAAGGTCACTATAACTTGAATGTTTTAAAYACAAATAGTGCAATATATATGAAAAAGYTTGCGAAAAAAGGAAATTTACAGCCAAAATTTCGGCTTATTATATCTCTACTTTAATCTTACACTAAATAATTATCGTATTTTGCTTGTAAATCATGCTATCATCTAGTATTTCAATGTCTGGTTGTCCCGCGTCGAAGCTGATCGCATGATTCRAGAAATTATGCAAGTTATCCACTTCTAATTGTCAACCATCAGTTGGCGTTCTTTGTTCTTTCTAGTTGTAATATTTGATTTTATGTGTTTCAAAGTTTAATTTAAACAGTAAAACTTGTATTCCTAAATACACTTACACTGTTTACAATATATTCCTGTAGTCTAAGTGCTAATTACCGATATCATTTTATTAATTAATCATTTATTTATTAATGTCAATTCCTTAATGTATATTTTTTAAAGTATTTTCAGTTTTATTTTAAAACATTAAATTATTATAATGCAAGCATATATTATTCAAAATTTGTTTTCCTTGTAGTATTACTATACYATAAGTATCACTTTGTAATTACATGTTAAGCTTTCCATAACACTAGATCCAATTCTTTCTTAATAACATCAAAAAAGTTTCACTTAACCAACAATTTTTTTGTCAATTTCCATTAGTACGTGGCTGTCATTGATAACCTTGACATGCAACTATGCAAATATCTACAATATATKTATCATCAACTTTGGTATTCTTCCTGTAAATCTGATATGTCACCACAATGTTTTCAAATTCAAAAAAAGTTATTGCATTTGACATAAGGAATCAAATATTTTATGTTGATTTTCAACTCAAAGGTATTGATGTTTGAAGAGACCATTTKAAAATCAGAGACACACAATTATCAAAGGATCTATCCTCGATGTCTGGCCAACAAAATCTATAAAATATTCAAGTTATGTCTTGCAATTATAAAGCTATTAATTTGCTTCAACAATAAATTCAAATGAACTTCAAGACTAGAGAAACAACGCAAAAAAAACAAGCAACCAAAAAAATAAATAAATAAAAACAATTACTAGATAATACATCTTAGACAAAGCATGGCTTGGAAGCATTTTAGTAGAAAGTAAATCCACTTCTCAAAATTRGAKAGAGATTTTTGTTATTGTAATCATGGCTTGCAGAATCAAGTGGACAATGAAATTACAGCTGTGTTAGTGTTTTGAAAAGAGAAAACCACTGACACACTGGTAGCCGTTGTGTAACACTAGTGGCCCTGTGCAGCCCCCTGTAATGAAAGACATTAAAGTTTTTTTATRTAATCCAAGTATGCTTTGCTTATTATCTCTATGGTGACTTTCTTGATACAAAAAAAATATCTTTGTGTTCTAACTTCATCGGAATCTCCTTTAAATCCTGCGGCCATTAATCCTTTGTCAATCCAACCACCCATTCATGTTTTTCTCCATCCATTCACTCTTTCCCTGAATGACTCTAACAATTCTTGGTGTGCAACCACATGACCAGGAATCCCCTGAGAAATAAAGAACAAAGCTATCGCCGCCATGTTGGATGAATGAACAAGAGAAACTAATGAGGAATGCTTTGTGGTTTTCATCCAACATGGCGTCGATGACGTAACTTGCACACCAAGAATTGTTACAAAAAAATCAGTTCAAAGAAAGTTCAAGATAAGACCTTAATGAACTTGCTCTCCAAATCTCACAATAGTTAGTTCTTTTAGATATAATTCATGGGTATCTTCAAAAACAACTCTCTTGAACATCAATCTCAAACTGAACTTTGAAAGTTTTTCTCAGAYATGATATTCTATACCAAAACGTAGCCATTGTATTTGATTGTATAGMTAATTTAGATACTCTTATTTTGTGCCTTTTTTCTTCAAGAGGTTTCTGGCGCCGTTAGATTATCTGTCTACCAATCTTTATCTCGAAACGCATTTTTTTTCCGCAGAACATTCCTTTTACGTAAAAGACTTCTACAACTCTTTGGATTGAAAAATTTAGATTGCATTCAAATTATACTTTTATTTTATTTAAAAAAATACTTTTWTTATTGTATTGCGTGTGAGGGTGAAGCGGTGTCCACAAAGAAAAGTTTAAAAAACATCAGTGCGGAAATGTGTGCATGACCCTATATCGTGACGTAAGGTCAGTACCGTGACGTAACGTAGCACAACTCACGCTATCTGCATATTTTTCGCTAAATCCATTCTTTAATATATCTCCTTAGATTCAACAAATTCTGCGGCGAGAAAGTCTTGAAATATTATGGAACATATATACAAAGAGCCCGAATATTGAATGCGCAAAGGAATGCCTARGGATCACATGAATGGACCAATAAAAATAAGCCACAACCAAGGAAATATTGCAAAAACTAAGAAYTCAAAGTCTAAAAATGGGACTCTAAACGGCAAGGATARRTCTACTAGGAATAAGTTTCAGTCGTACGACGATGATGAATTAGATTTGRCGCCGTATGTCGTTAGAAAAGATAGACTAATCCAAGAACTAGAGACAAGTCTAGCTGAAATGGATGGCCARCTGGAGAGCGCTTCAAAACTTGAAGAACAGAAAACAGCAGCYGAGGACCAGAGGACACGCCTTCTGAAGGAGATCGAGACTGCAGTGTCTGACATTCAAGGGCATGTACTAAATGCACGGGAAATGGAGATCGAAAAGAAGGCAATTGAAAATGAGTGTAATAGTTTGAAAGAACAAGTGAAACATTTGCRAACTCTTTTGGACGATAAGAAGACACCACTACATGACGGCAAACAATGGAATTACGTTGACTTGTCGCAGACCGAGGACGCAATGCGCGTGAGCCTCACTCATGCTAACTCCAGAAACCAAGCACTGGAAAAGGAAATTAAGAAACTCCGACTCGCAAACGAGCGATTACACCTGAAGGAGAAATCAAACAAACGTCCAGGTGATTTTGAACAACTCCAGAGGGACTATTTAGACCTGCAAAAGCTTCTTCAAGTAGCTGAGAATTCCGAGGACAACATAGCACACGAACTTGCAACGTGCCATCAGACGATGGCACAAATGAAAGACGATTATGAAGAACTCGAGAAGGTGAAGAGGATTATAGAGGAAGAAAGAGACGGACTCGTTCTGAGGAAAGCTGAAATGGAAATGGAGCTAAAGAAGCTTGAAGCTCTGGAGAACGAAAGGGATTCCCTTGCACTTGAAAAAACTGAACTGGAGAGAGAGATAACGCTCTTAAGAGAAGACAAGCAAAACTGTAACGTCATCGACAAGGTTTGTATCATCACAGTCCAAAGAAATAAACCTAGTGTCTTTACGGTCTGTTATTGTTGTTGTTGTTGTTGATGCTGTTGATATTGTTGTTGTTGTTGTTGTTGTTGTTGTTGCTCTTGTTGTCAACTCCGTAGTGTTGTTTCCGTTGTTAGTGTTATTTCTGGTTGTTTAGCAGTGTTGTATATTTTGGCCACTCAAAGTTGTGGCTGTTGTTAACGCTGTTGCTGCTTCTGTTTTGATTAATATTTGTATGCTACTGCAGGTATTGTAATTCATTGGCTTGTTGCTACTGTTGCAGAATTAACCACATTGCGTTTTGATATTAGATTCATCAAAAATATTTTTTTCTGTTTTGATTTAGGATTCATCAAGTCGTTTGCAAAAGGAGAAGGAAGCACTGCAAAGAAAGCTCGAWAATTACGAAGAACAATGCGAGAAACTTGAGCAAGAGAACGCATCTTACAAACAACACGTTGAACAATTGCAGAATGAACTCAAAACTTTACGAGWAGAAACTACTAAGACACAAACTAATAAAACTGATGATTCAAACCCTGGAAATCAGCCATTAAAAGCAGCGATAGTAAAACTCAACAAAGAAAATTCAGAATTGSAGGTTGGTCTTGAAAAAGCTGAAAAGGARATTGAAGARTTGAAGAGTCGACTTTCCAAAGAACAAGTAGACAGTGGCAAAGAAGATAAAAGTCAACAACTAAGGCCTGCATTTGAAAAGCTAAATAAGGAGAACTCTGAACTACAGATAAAACTGGAGAAAACCGAGAAGGAGCTCAGTGCCATTAAGATTTGCCTTGAAGAAGAACGCGAAGGTAAAAAGGTTGAAGAAGCTTCGGGTAAAAAGACTGAAAAGACGAAGAAAAAAGTTCTGAAGTTAAAGGACAGCAAGAAGAGCAAGAAAGACAAAAAAGAAACTGATGATTCTGACGGTGTTAAGGACGAGCTGGAGTTGTTGAAGAAGGAAAAGTTTGACTTGACCAGCGAGTGCCAAGCTCTTTCAGAAACTGTCACTAAAATTGCAGGCGAGAAGCGAAACATGGATAAGGAAATTCAGGAACTTAACAACGAGAAAACAAAACTACAAGCAAAGATAGCCGAGCTTGAAGCAAGCATTAAAGARTTGGAGGTAATCAAAGAAAAGAAGGAAGAACTAGAGAAAAAAAATCAAGAAATTCAACTCTATTTGACACAGGTCAGCGCAGAATTGGAAAAGACCGTTGAAAGCAAAACTCTTTTAAACGAGAAATTTGTAAAGGTGACTGGTGAGAAAGAGGCACTTGTATCAGAGCAGAAAGAATTCCAGGAATCTCTAGAAGCCATCAAACAAGAAATGGAAAATGTCCGTAAAGATGTCTCAAACAAAAGCACTGAGATTAGAGTACTGAGGAAGAAACACGAGGAAGAAAAGCGACGACTGATCGGCATGAAAGATGGTGGTGACAAAGAAATAACCCGAATAAAAACTGAGCTAAAAGAAATATCCGCAAAAGTTATGAAATCAGCCGATGAAGACAGTGAACACGATAGCAACGATGTAATTTCTACCGTTGAAAAATTACATCAAGACGTCGAGGAACTTAGCCAAAAGAATTCTGAATTGGAGCAGTCAAAGGAAGAACTTGAGTCGAAATTGAAAGAAGTTAGTAAACAGGCGGAAGAGTTACAGAAAGAAAGTGCTAAAGCTAGTGATATGGCCATGGAAAAAGCAGTAGAATTATCGCGAACAAAGAGATCCCTTGAAAGAAAAATAGAAAAGCTAAGTAAAGAAAATGCAGAATATAGGGGTAAACTGGGTGTGGCTACCCCCGCCATGTCTATTACCCCTCGCATTTCTCCTGAAACGGTGCAAGTGAAAAATGTAGAAGTGGTGGAATCCCMACCGACCCAACAAYCTCTACTCGCCCCTCAAGCACCTCCTAGACAACGACCTCCTTCTCAAAACTCAAGAATTGCCGAGGCACGTTATGAGGGATCTAGTAAGCCTGGTCCATCGGGCATCAGGATCGGGCCCCAGGACTATCCAAATAGAGGGCCACAGGAACATTATCGTGAAGGTCCTCGACCTGGACCTCCAGGGACACGAAATGAAGGGTCTGATTCAAGACATCCAGAACGTTCMCCWCCACCTTACCCTCTAGCGAAACGCTCGTCGCTGGATAATGGCTTAATACCAGAAAAAGACCGGGGAAGCAGAAGAGATTTACCATCCTACCCCCCACGGGAACGMAGAGTCTCTGAAACAAGAARTCGACCTCCGAGTGCGTCTGTTACTTCAGGCGGTCACGAAGGSGAGGCTAGGGGTGGAAATTCTTTAGTGAAAGGCGAGAGAAGACGAAGTGATGGCGGCTACACGTATCATAAAAGAAACGAAGTAGATAGGTGAGTTTCGAGAASCTGGTAAAAGTACTATTTTATGTTATATAGAAGACTTGAATAGGGCAGAATGTCGCTTGCTTCTCTTTCTTGCTATAGCTCCAGACTGCCTCATCTACTCCTTACATGTACACTTACTATCAAGGTCTTTGCACATGCTATGCACCATGTTGACATGCTCTTTATAACTCGCTGTTAAAATAAACATTACGCATAATCTAAACGCTGTAAAAGCGCATGTCCTTTGGGAAATACCGCAGCGGTTTTAATTGTGTGCTCGTGTGCTCGTAGGTGTGGTGTTGTTTCAAATTTCACAAGCAATCATTATGACGTGCGAGTTTATCGATTGAAGGTGCCTAGCCCACGTACGTATTTGTCTGACACTAATGCGTGACATGTATTCTGACGTTGTGTGACAGTACTAATGCAGTAATGGCGCTATCCAACATATAAATCCATTTCCAGCTGATAAAATTATTACAAAATATATTTTAAAAATAGAAATCTATGCAGTTGATCCAACGTTGATATTTATATGTCTTAGTCCAGATAGTATTTATACTATAAAAATATCAAATACCCCTTAAAAAGACCAAGGTCGTACTTCTGAGAGTATACCCCTTAGAGCGATCAGTGGTCGTACTCAGGAGAKTACTTGACTTGACTATATTACTGATGAATTTCGTTTCTATCTAGGTATCGTCATGATAACCGGMCAACAGACCAAAAGTCCGCTTTCCGCGCAGTTGGCCATAGRAAGAGGGTTGTACACGAGGACTATGTCTGAGGKTGTCCGGTTTTCGAGGTTYTAAAACTCTAAATGAAACACCTTAGTGCACTAATGCACAAACTCCACGAAAATGACCACCGTATTGACACCCTTCAACCTATGACATGTAATCAAAGTTGTGTACCATAACTGGGCCATCCAGGTACTGATTGAAGACCCTTGGACCATTTGAAAGCCTGTACTATTAAGAAGACAGCATACTCCTACCCTGGAGCCTCRGGGTACCGAGGAAGGCACCAATCGATAAATCTCCTTCTTGAAAAGACACTGTCATGTAATCAAACTTGTACCATTGTACCTCCAGCTCCTACCTAAAAGAGGACTTTGGATCACGCGTAACGTGTGCACTACTTATATTAAAGACATCAATTCTTGAGCTCGACAGCCTCAGGGCACCGGTTAAAGGGCTTGAATAATGCGAAAACTACACCCGCGCACATCATCTTCGACCATAYCTACGGAATTCACTAGTAAAATACACATTGTGAACATATTAACTACGTAAAGCAACGTTCTCACTCTCCCTAAAAACAGAAATTCATCTCGATATAATCGTACCTTAAGTCAAAATTGGATTATACACCTAATTTATAAGACGTTGTCGGGTCCTTAAAGGTGGCATCACTGAAGCTAGGGAAGGAAGGAAAAGAAAGGAGTCATTGGAAAGCTGGTGATTATTACAATCTCAATGTATGATAGTGTACACGTTTCCGTTTCACAGCACTGTCTCACTGAACATTCAATGCTTCCACAATGGGTCAAAATTGTACACATGATTCAAAAAGGGGATTAAATCCCCTCTGGCCTTAGCTTCAATGACGTCACCATTCTGAATCGATAACGTTCAATTATAAGAGTTCTTATGATTATTTCAAAGTCGTAATTTCTATCTTGGCACAAGCTCTAAAACAGACGGCCGGGATAAATAGAATGTAATTTGCTTAGTACTTTGGAAAAATGTCAGTTTAGCTTGGTCACTCTAGAATACCACAACCATTTTTTATATTCCAAGTTTTTCTAACKCGGTTTTCCAGATATTTTACATTCAAGCCTATATATTTTTATAATCGTATTCTAGCAGTTTTGTTCTTTCGACATTTTTTACTTGCTTTAAGTTTAGATATTGGATTCATAAAGTATTMTTAAAGATATTTAAAAATATAACGCTTTCACGCATTGGCTAGATATCTGTGATATATCGCACGCACTGATTGGCTGGAGTGATAGAATAATCGTGATACAACGCATGRACTGATTGGCTAAGCAGAATTTAAAATAAATTGAGATATAACACGCGTATTGATTGGTTAAAAGGATGCGTATGCATTTGAATAACTTAAAAGCCTTACAGTATAATTTGTAAGCTACAGTGAATTGGTTGTKGTGTCCCTAAGCTATAAGATATTTTCTGCCCTCGTACATCGACGTTTTAACGGCATTTGAAGTTACTTATATGTCGCCATGCATAGCGAACTAAAACGACCAACGGCTTGTTCCCAAACCATGTATAAACCAGGGCATTTTTYCTATACGGATCTATGGTCAGACAAAAGCCCTTGGCGATCTTGAATGGCTACGACAGGTAGATACTAGATATGCCACAAATTCACTGGGCGTAACCAACTCTGCCCCTAGTATGGAATAGTCAAACACCTCGTCAATGATGTCATGAGAACACAAAAAAATCGATTGTCGATTCTTTGAGGGTGTTGTATTCTCTCCAGCTGACTTTCCGTGATAAGCGCCTTAATGAGAAGATATACCAAGAAATAACTCTTGGATTTAAACGGCTTTCAGCAATTCAACGGGGCTAAGATCAGAGTGTGTCGTGCAAATATTCTTACACGATGAGGGAAATCGTCCATCTTCAAATTGGTCAGTGTGGAAATCAAATGAGCAAGCAGGTCAGTGAGTTCTTGAGGCGCGCGGACAAGAAAGCGTTTTTTATMTTGACACACCTGTTGAGCTGCAATATTACGTCTCTTAACTGTTGGTATTTGTTTACAATTTATTCAAAATAGTTGTTTGTTATGGAGATACAGTCAAATCGATAAATCTGTGAAGTACATTGTAAAATAGAGCATCATGAGAGACTCTGATTTCATTTTTCTAGCTTTTTTTACTTATCTTTCTTTCTTGTTTCTTTTTAATGTTATTTTRATGTTACATCTTTAGTTGACTTCGTTTTAATGGATTAACTTACTCATTCTGAACATAGTTATGTTCTGAAATACAGATTCGCATTTTTGACAATAGTTGTATTGAGTGAAATTAAAGTCATTTATAGAGTTCAATCAAAATGATCTATTCTTTCTTGAGATTTTCTCTTGCTTCTTAAAATATTTTAATCGCGTAATTGAAGATTATGATTTTGTTTCTTGCTAAATATAAAATAAACTAAGAGTGTTGATTTTCAGTATATTATTTTCATTCATCGCCAAAACATTGTACAACCAACTCAAAATAACATAAATCTCTTCTAGATCGCGTAGTCAGCTACAACAGCACATGCGCAGAAWAAATTCAATTCAGTCCCACATGTCTCAGAACAAAAATATGTTATGAAGATATTTCCTGCTGAGTRCAATGTTTTCTTAGTAAGAATATATTTTTTCAGCTATTTTATTATCTAGCGTGGCTAAAAATACAATGTGTTTTWACTTTAGCATGCTTGACCTACCATGCGTTAAGCAGGTTCTCGTGTGTTGATATGGTTTCATAAATACTTAGAATTCTAACAAAATAGCGTCGCTGCACTKGTCAATAGTTGTGTTTTTATGCTATGCTAGTTTTGGGAGGTAATAGCAGAGGAGCATATGATTGACAGCAAAGGACRTTTCCATGGTGATGATCCAATGAAGTTAGACAAAGTGAACGTCTACTTTGATGAAAAATACGGCAAGTACCATTTAGAAAAAGAAAAGAGGGAAATAAAAATAARTAAATAAATAAAAACATTTCAAAAACAGCCCATGAAATGTTAAGAAAGAACAATTTTAGCTAACAAAAACTGTAGAACTTCACTTTTGATAGTATTTCGTCTTACTCATACCATACCATACTTTAWWGTTRATCCCAACTATTTTCAGATGGGCGTTACGTTCCACGTGCTGCTTGCGTTGACCTCGAACCAGGCTCCATCGACTCGTTGAGATCATCACGGTATGGTGAACTCTTCAGCCCTGAGACCTGCATCACTGGTAAGAGTCGTCCCCAGTCCTCAAATTTACATGTAGTGTAGAAAAGCGTCTTGGGAAGCTTCTAACCAACATCATGCATTGCAGTTTTATCAGTTTAGTCTCCCACACCKTGATCCTCGGTTCCCATTCCTGATAGGAAATTTAACAAGGAAATTTACTWTATGCACCTATGTCATCACAGGTCAAAACAGTGCATCAAACAACTGGGCCAAGGGGTTTTACACCGAGGGCTCAGAACTCCTCGAATCGACCATGGACTGTGTACGAAAACTGGCCGAATACTGCGACTCGGTTCAAGGCTTCCAGCTAGCCCACTCATTAGGAGGAGGGACTGGCTCTGGTTTAGGATCGCTGCTGATATCGAAAATCCGCGAGGAGTACCCAGATAGACTGATGTCGAGTTTTAGCATCTTTCCATCKCCCAAGGTGTCTGATACTGTRACAGAGCCGTACAATGCTACGTTGAGYTTTCATCATCTCATCGACATCGCCGATGCGTCCTTCTGCATCGACAATGAAGCATTGTACAACATATGYTACAATGTGCTGAAGAACAGTTCACCGACTTACAACGATTTGAACCGATTTGTAGCGACAACGATGAGTGGTATTACGACGTCGTTACGATTTCCTGGTCAGGTAGGTATATCGATAATTTTTATTTTTAAAAATAATATGTAACTCAAGATATTAATTAGCCTTCTACAACCCGGGGATGTGAAAAACAGTTCTTGTCTGGACAAATATCTTCAGTATTAAAAATCATAAATATCATCATCATCATCATCATCTGTTAAGCGCCAAGATTAACTACAAATTTTCTTTGCAGCTTAATGCTGATATCCGTAAGCTTGCGGTCAACATGGTTCCATTCCCTCGCCTCCATTTCTTCATTCCCGCGCAYGCCCCGTTAGTTCGAAAAAGGTCTGAGGACTACAGAGCTCATGACGTCACTGAACTCACCAACGACATGTTCAGCTCGCATGGAATGATGGTAGACTGCGATCCAAAACGAGGAAAATACCTGACAGTCGCCGCCATGTTTAGAGGACAACTGTCCATGCGAGATGTAGAAGAAAAGATATCACAAATGCAGGTGATAAAACCTATATAGATGAAGCAATTTCATTGGTTGAATTGCCATGTTCTAACTTATATCTTTGCAGGATGTACACTCATCTACGTTCGTTGAATGGATCCCCAACAACATGAAGACGGCTGTTTGCAATGTGCCTCCAAAAGGGCTGACGTCGTCTGCKACGTTTTTATATAATAGCACTGCCATACAAGAAGGCTTTAGAAGGTTCACGGAACAATTCGCCGCCATGTTCAGACGGCGGGCTTTTCTTCACTGGTATACTGCAGAAGGCATGGACGTCATGGAATTTACTGAGGTCAGTTGGAATTTGAAACTAATYGTGTAATTAAGATTAGTTAAAATTGCCCTGTTTCAATATGACGTCACATCAAATTAGAGAGATTGTAACCCCCATGTCATGAACATGCTGTGACGTCAAATACTAAACAGGATAATTATGGTATGTCATAGATTGAAAAATTAGCTTGTTATTCCTCAATCSTTAGGCTGACTCAAATCTRAAYGACCTGATATGCGAGTACCARCAGCACCAGGAAGTTTCASCMAACACTGACTTTTACGAAGAAGAAGAGACMGAAGATTTCCAGGAAGAAATTGAGYCTTAGWAATTCCCTTCTCCTATCGCTGCCTCAATTATATGCATGATGGCTGCAGATCGATGTCACCGACAAGAAGTGACAAAAAAACCCGCTCACATATTTATCATAATGTCGAAGACATTTGAAGAACGAAAACACGACCCGCAAACGCATTCTTCACAAGGCTCGTTRCAATTGTCCCAATATTTCACACAGACATGGTATTATTATGATGGATAAATCAAGAATGTCTATCAGGCAGAGCAAGCTAAGCGTCAACACATATAGTATTACARAGAAAAGAAATGAAGAAAGAAGCACAGAGATATTTGTTAACTTTCTATACAACTTCTTTCCTTCTTTGAATTGACAACTATTGGAGACCACTCGCAATAACTATTGATAACTGAAGTCATTTTATTATCTGAATTGTTTTATTTATTTTTCAGTCCCCCCAGAGTTTATCATTACAATAATTACTCTTTATCACTRATGTCAATCAAAAACACTGCGCATGCTCAAATCACATTCTCTATGAAAGACCGTGAATAAAGACATCAACACAGACTCGTCCCACATTGTCGCTGTCGTACCAGTTTTTCAAATCCTCTCCGTACCAGATCTGTAACCTTCCATATTGGGGGAGGTAGAATGGGTCGAGGTAGTTAGTGAAGACCAGCTCGTTTGAGTGTAGGGAATCGGTGAATGGCAGATAGTACCATAGTCCTGGTTTGGACCAGCCAGGCGCTATATGCTTATCCAATGGGTAAACCTTATTCTTAGCAACATCGGTGACGATGATGTTCAGTGGGTGTTTATAAATGGCTGTGAATAACATGAATAATATTTTTAAAGTTATAATTGATAAAATAGAGAGAACGCTCTTAATCCGGGAAACCACATTAATACACAATAGATTCTTGAATCATCTGCTTGAATTAAAAAGGTTGAAGACGATCACTTTATTTGCGATCAATGAGAATTTTCACAATGATAATTATCATTATCATACAGCAACTTACACGGATGGGAGAAATGATAACATCCCCAACGACTCTTGTACGCTTCGCTATGGGCACATCTTATCGATCCAGATTTATAAACAAGTTTCATTGCGCCAACCATCGTACCATCGAGAAGGTACGTCAGTTCACCGGGCTTGTCGCCACGACCCTCGAAGCACACAGGAAGGAGATTGATTTGTTTCCAGACCTGGTTACCCCCGGACTTGGTGACTTGACCTGAAAAATTAAGATCAATAAATTTTGGCTGGAGATTATTTCCTGTTTTTTCGGATCCAATGGTGAGCGTGCGGTCAGAAAAAACGTTAGGCGTGGTCGTATGATACAGTCAGTAGTGAAACATGCACGAGTTTGATATTTGAAACGGGTAGGATACGACATCATAACATATGAAATTCGTCGTTTTAGACAGGCTTTGGCTAGATAACAGCCGAAATCAGACTTTCAACTAGAAGTCAGGGGGCATTTTGTATAAAAAACTCAGCCGATTTAAGACATTTTTTCTTCTTTTCTGGAGAAATTTTAGTAGTTTAAAGCTACCGCCATTTGCCACATTATCTAATCCACTTACCTTGAGATAGACAAGGTGTAAAAACCAGAAACGTAGCAAAGAACGAAAACAAGACGATGAACATGTTGGTAGTCGCTTTAGGGACAATCTGAGATGAACTGATAATGTGTACGTTTTTTATCTGTTGTATATATTTGTTTACCATTAGCTTGTTAAAATAAGGTTTATTAAGTTAATTAGACAGTAATTATTTTTGTTTAATGAGCTGAATGTCACGAAAACTAATGTTTGTTTACTTTACTCTAATTGACAAGTCAATAAATTGTGCAATAACGATTAGGTTGAGACAGAATAGGACTTAGTGCAAACACTTAAAAGTGAAAAAGTAATAACCAAATAGTGCTAACAGCGCTAATAAGTATTTATTAGACAATAGAAATAARTGATTTAACATTTGGCAGCTTAACATTTGGTAGCACTCAGCACTATCTAAATAACTGACTTTTTCATGCTTTTACTATTTGCCACTCTAGTAAAATGGGAAACATGACTTTGAAACTTTTATTGGCAACACTAACTGCGCAACGCCATAGTAATCTCCACACTTTATAAACAAGCATGTTGTATCTCTTGTTTATTTATCATAAATGATGTCAAATATTTATTTGTTGATGATTTCTTTCTTAAACAAAAGTGTTCATGAGACAGGTTTGACGTATTACTAATGTTACTATGACAACCATATGTTACCATAGTGATGAGGGTTGAATCTTAGTTATGTCTTGCATATAGGAGCAAATCATACTTTCCCTTCGTATACAAATTCTTTCTTCTCGTTCGGCAAAAGGATAGCTACAGGACAGACACAKGATAGCTAAAGGATTTCTCTATATTTCAATTAATGAAGAGTAGCACATTTATTTATTGTAATCATTCTCTTTATTCRATGAAAAGACTGCACTGAAACTGAATTTACAAAGAAAAAGAAAAGCAACCCTCTCATTCCCAATTGACATTGTGAATTTGTAATTTCTAGTTAAAATTTCAAAAGGATAAAACTTTACTTCTTGAGACAATCCAAAATTGCACTTCGTTCACCTCAATATGCTGTATTTCCTTTATTCAATTAAAAAARACTAAAATGTAGCTTGTTTGTACAGTGCAGAGAAAAAACAATTTACAATAGAAAACTATTTACAAACAAATTCATTGTATTCCCAAAATACTAGTTCATATTCTCAGACTGTTCTTTAACCCTCCAKGCTGCGTCCATGTATTTAGTGATTTCTGAATGGGTTCTTGGATGATGTAGACGTTGATCRTACCATGTCTTGTCAATCTATAACATTAAAAATCCATAAATAAATTATGACAACCTTTTTTGAAATAGCTATACACACACAAAGGAGTTTTCAAAACTGTCAATTTACAGATATTTTGCTGATTAGGTAAGGAGACTCAACAAACTCAGTATTAGTCAGTGTGTTTTACATGGAGCATACAGTGTCAATTCAAGCCAAGCCTGTGAAAACAGCCAACTCTCATCACCGAAAACTGCCTGATTTCTACACACAACAAGAAGGGGTATYGAATGGTAAAATCTGAGCCTCGCCRARACCATGAGCTCCTCGTTTTAAAATCAGAGCCCRAGCCTTTGGCTGAACGAGTCCGATATTTCGGCAAATGCAAGCTTCTAAGCCAAAAGTAATTTTAAATCCGAGCCCCTTTCTTTTAAGCACTGAGCTTGCGAGCCTTGGGAAATTTTTGGTGAGCTTTGTAATKTCTGAGACACCATTCTATACCATTACAAGAATGAGCTGCATGTTTTTGCAGACTAACAGTAGTTTACTCACCAGTGGATCTGTATTCCAGCCGTATTCTTGTGCAGATGTCTGAGGGAATTCAAACTTCTGTACTGGTGTTTTATGTGCTCTYTTTATGACTCTAAGAAAATTATCTAAAGGGAAAAAATAGATATTTAAGATTCTGCTAATGGCAATGCATATCTCTATTGTCAAAAAACAAAACTGTATATTATATGTTTATGTCGAAGGAAGAAAAAGCTTTAAAAACCACAAATATAAAAGCCTTAATWGTAGCAAGGCCTGCCCTTCTTTTTGATGTCCGTGCTTTCAAAATCCATAAAAAATATTGCTTATTTATGTATCCTTGACAATTATATGAGGAAGTAGCTGATCCATTAAAGAGTGCTCAATACACATATAGTGTAGAGCTAATATATATAATATCAAAGAGGCAAGATTTGCTCTTACTCCGAGTTTCGTAGTTTGATATCATATATATCCTTGACAAACAATTATAATCTGTGTTGTCTATAAGCATCTAAGGTTGATGGTTTAGCCTCATTTACAGACGCTTTTATTAACTAGTACTACATATAGTCGTCTGCAACGGAGGTTATTGTGAGTTTTTAAGATGAGGGCTAAAACTCAGCATTTGATACAACTAAGAGTTAAATAAATCTTTACAAATAAACTGTTATACTCAAAAGCAAGATAATCAGCTTAATACGATGAAACACGCTAAAACAAATATCAAAACTTACCGTCTTCTTCTCCATCTGCCGAATCATGCTCTGAATTAGGCTTCCCAGTCAAGGTATACACTAAAAAAAGAAAACAAAACCATTCAAATGTCAACTCTTTAAGCAAATCGAACACTTGATCAACTCACTTTTCTTGAAGGGATTCACGCTATAGTTCGTATATAGTTGCTGATTTCTCTGTTCTTTTTGAATCGTTTCACACAAAATTGCATTTTGATGAACGAAATTTATCTCYGGTCTCTCTGCTTTTCTCGAAGCCATATTTTTCTATCAAAAGAAGCTGCTTTTARGCTRACTCTGCGAGTGAAAATACAATGTTCCAAAATGGCTGCTTGTGCTTTGTATGTTGCTTAGCAACTACACAAGTCAGCTAGCGTCCAGTTTCCTACAAACGGTCAAACCTTGAGAGCCCAATCTCATATCCACTAAGGGCATAATAATAATAAAATAATTCACCAAAATCACAGTAAAATATAAATCCAGTCTAATCATTATTATTAATAGTTATTAACTATGGTATAATCAAAGATTTTTTTTTCGGGCGGTTCATAGTAATTCGCGCGTTGTGATTGGCTAGCGCGCGGTCCGGTTTTTCACGATCTGGCCCGGTCCAATGGTATCCTGCAGCTAGCCTGCGTGCAAAGTTTCATAAAATACAAATAAAAAAAAATAAAAATGTTATTTACCGGCTATAGCTCGGTCCGTATAGGAAAACACTGCCCTCGGTCTTTTATGTACGGACCTCGTTGCGCTCGTTCCGTACAGTCAAGACCTCGGGGAGTGTTTTCCTATACGGACCTCCCAGCCAGTAAATAACATATATGTATTTAGGTGTAGATAGTCTTCCTTTTGACCAAATTCAGTTGAAAATTTCAAGCTTCTTCGCCGCTCGGCATAGTATACAAACGACTTGGCACTTAGGTTTTTTCACGTCTCTGGACAGGCTCCCGGACAGAATGTCACGAAAAATTATATGTCCGGGAGTCAAAATCACAGTAAAATGTAAATCCAGTCTAATCAAAGATACTTTACTGTAATTAGGTGTAGATAGTCTTCCTTTTGATGAAATTCAGTTGGCAATTTAAAGCTTCTTCGCCGCTCGGCATATTATACAATCGACTTGGCACTTAGGTTTTTTTAACGTCTCTGGCCAGGCTCTCACGGGAGAATGTAAATCCAGTCGGAAAACATCGAAAAATGTCATTAATGTCAAATTGTAGATTCTTTAATCTCTTTTTCGTTTTATCCTCGGTTTTCTGTTCATACGAAGAAAGTGAGCTCAAAGTGAGCTCAGCTGAATTTGGTCAAACGGAATTCCGTACGAATAAGTCGATAAGTCACGCAGTCTATTCATACGGAAATTTTCTTTAGTTTTAAAAAGAAAAAATATCTAGATAAAAACAAACAAAATGACAAAAGCAAAGAAAATGAAAAAAAGATAGAAACGAGCGAAATAGAAACAATGAACAAGCAAAAAAAGAGAAATACCAGCGTCAGGACTCGAACTCAGGACTTTCACTTCAGTAGAAGATGTACCCCCCCTGGCATACATAAGAAATAATGAAAATAAAAAACTAAAAAGATGGGACGATTCCCCCGAGACATTCTATGAAGCTGAGGCGGCGAATCGGCTTACGTTACGGTTAGAGATTTCGGCCCTTCCACGTTATCCCGAGTGAACATAAAACTTAGTCTTAACCAAAAGGCCAGGGAGTGAGGGGGTAGCCGCCCACTAGAGCATACCTTTAGCTACCCTCTTAGACCATCGTACTATGAAGACACTTAAGATATCTAATATCTAATTGGGGTAGTCTATTCGGTGAAGTTCTATGCTAATATATGACGTCACCAAAATCCTTAGGGAGCAACGAGCCAATCAGAGTTCAGCTCATGAATAGCAAAGGTTCAGGGTTTGCATAATCATTCTTTAGTGGATTTATTATTTGATGGGGGTGGGGTGGGTGCCGAGTGCTGGTTTGCGGCCGAATACCGATGTACTCGATGTAATGTGATGCATTTCACCGAGTTGTTCAGTTGTCGTTATTGTTTTCTAAATCATCACAGGAAAAGGTGTACAGTTCTTATATCAGACAGACATTACTAGACCTTACTAGCTTTCGGCTAAACACCACAACAAAAATCTCTTAAAATTCTTAACGAAAGTGGTTAACAGACCAGGCAGATACTAGCCGTTCTTAAAGATTTGCCGGCGTTCAACGGAACACAATTAAATGCCTCTGAAGCTCCAGCATTACACTCGAACGTTCCACATTTTCGTTCTTTATGATATAAAAGTTAACGAATGGATTAATATTGATTATCAAATAATTATTAAATCTTAATATGAGCCGGAATGTCAACAATTGAAGCGATGAATGATAGTCCGTATAAAATTGATAAAGAATGAAGAACTTTAGCAATCTTTTGGTCTTATTGCAAAACAATAATCAGGCGAACAAGAGTAATTATGTAAAAATACATTTAGAAAAATATAAACATTTTATTGAAGAAAACGTTTGAGAATTTATCGGAGAGTTTATAGAGTCAACAGAGAAGACAGATGTATTTGACAGCTAAATTAACGCGCTAAGGGTCCATATCGTGGATAAAAATCTCTTTTCCGAATCTTTCAGATGGATATGTTTACTGCAGGCAGGGAAACAGCTAGGGCGCCCCGCGTCAGGCTCCCACGGGAGAAATGACCAACCATCACAATAGGTTCCTCGTGGCCCCTGGGAATCGCAGCCCCTGGCTGAATATCTATCACCGTTCAAAAGGAGTTTTCATGGTTCCAGTATACCAGCTTCGTGTTGTGGTCAAGACCTTCCAAGGAAAGCAATTCAATTTAGAATTACCATTTTTTAACCCAGATAACTAGAAGTTTACTAAATCTCTTAATGGCYTGAGTCACATGCAGTCCTCGATTGCCTATTTTTTAACTTTGCGTGTTTTAACTCAATAAGTTTTCCATGCAATTTATAGGGGTATTTTAATTTTTATTTATCTTTATACTTACAACCATTAACATACAATTAATCAACTATGGTTTAGGTGCCACAATAGGGAACCACTTTCATGGTCTTAATAACAATGCCCCTTTATTGCAAAACTTATTGCTTGGCTTATAGATGTTCCCAATAAAGGATTTAGTCTTTTGTTCATATGGACTAATATAAAATAACTCAGTTTACTAGCAACCAAACTCATGCTATCTGGACCTACTTGAACATGCCTTGTCTTGTATCTAAAGTCCTGAATTCTACAAATATCTCAGAATTTAAGCTCCAAGAAATTGAGCAAGATGAATGCTAAGTTCAAACTCGACACCATCGAATTTTTCCAAGCCTTGGAGCTAAGAACTGGACTCAGTMTTCTCGCGAACGAATGTGATGCCAATCTTGGTCAAAAGCTTCGAGAACTAATGGCGCTAAACAATGCAAAGTGTCACAGACCTTCAATCTACACGACTGCTAGAGATAGATCAAAGAAGGCCAGCAAAGTCCAAGAAATGAAGATGAACATAGCGGAGACTGAAAAGCCAAAACGTCAACCTATGGGCAAGTTAAATCGAGTAAAAACTGTAAACTTGAACTGTAATGTACCTTCTGAGAAATTAAGTACAAATTCCACTGTAGAAAATGGTGGATTCTTCAACCCCAATACAGCTGTTTACAAAGCTGTTAACAGCGGTACAAAGGAGGAATCCTCTTGCCAAAGAGGCATAGACACAAAATTTAACGCCAGCAGGAAAACGTTTGGTAATTGTGTCATTACTAAAGACGAAGAAATCAAGATCCTGAACCACTTACTTTCACTTCTTCGCAGAGGTAAAGGTTCTATAGAAATGGAGAGAAAGATTTTGGACGACTTGTGGTCGCGAAAAGCAAACCCGAGACATTATAAGAACGAACAAAAAGCGAAAGACGACAGAAAAACATCAAAAACTCATCCTTCTTCACAGAAAGTGACGAGAAAGATGAACATTAAGACAGAAAAACATTCAGTGCCAAATACAAAATGTAAGAGTGTTCCTTGTGATCTTGGATACTCAGAAGTTGTGGGACAAAACATTGGTACAATGCCAAAAGACACGAAAATCGTGAAAAGACAGTTGTCATTTGCAAATTCACGCCGCGCACGCTCTCACTCTGAGCGCCGCAAAAAGCCGAATAACTCTCCTCGGCTCCGAGCGTCGTTCCTCCCCGATGTTTACATCCGCTATGGTTATAAACCATCTCAACCTTCAGTTCTTGGAGGAGACCAAGAACCTGAGTCAACGAAATTGCTAAAAGCTGAAAAGAGGCTGCAATCCATTCCTGATTCTAGTGCAGGCATTGCTTATAAAACAAAATCWGACATCAAGTTTAATTTACCAAAAATTGAGAAAGGGTTTTGTATGAATGACTCTAAAAGGAAGAACAGCTGGAGGAGTGAAAATGAAAGCGGCAACATTAGCTACGATACCTCGAGAGAAGATCAAGCGCAAGGATACAGACCAAGAGAACGCGATCGAATGTTGCCTTTCATATATCCATCTCACCACCTTATGAACCAGGGAATCTCAACCAATCGCCAAAATCAAAATTTCTCCACATTCGCAGCGAAAAACAGAACTAAGAGTGACATTAKGTCTTACAATGCCATCAACARTGTCAAGAAAAACTACCRYAATACAACTCGAGACTATTTCAGCTATGATTTTGACAATTCCATCAGAAGGCAATTTGGCCAAAGAAAACACAACACWCCGGTTTCACCTCCCCTAAGAGGCTTCAGYCCCTTTCCAGACGACCATGGCTCGTCTCCYCTTCCYTTAGGAAGTAACGATTTTAAAATATGAGCGTCACGGGTTGAAAAGCTTAGAACTTTTCCAGTGGCTTGCGCGMGCGTTGATTTGGATGCCACACGTTCTAAAACCTCTGAAAAAAAAAATAACTAACAGGGGGCTCCTGATATTTAATAAAAAATAATAACAAACTAATATTAAATGATAAAATAATAAAAATCGAAAAATTACAGACTAATTTCGCACTGCTCGTCAGTCCGTTCCAAACATTAATTAATCCGCACTCCAGTGCATTCCGGATAAATTTTTACGTTTCCCAGTCTCTCCCGCTGATCTTTGACAGATGTTTAGAACTCGTGCCCAATAGTTCAAAATGGTCGCCTTTAGCAAGGTTTTGGCGACAAATCCATCGAAATTTCTTACTCCTAAAATATCTGCAGCTCTTATTTCGACAGCAGCATGTGGAATTTTTCTTATGTGGAGAAAACAGTTGAGAGACCACGAAGAAAGGCGAAAAAGGTAGAGTTGATAATGTTTGCCAATATGCTCAGAAATCATTCTTCAAGGTTAATCGAGATCATAAGCGTATAATTAAACTAAATTTTTAGAATCAAGTTAAATTTTCCTTATCTATGACATTATTCAGCACAATTGAGCTTTGTTTTTTATAAATTTGTGAGCACAAACAACTCAAAAAACCTATATTTATGTTTCCTAATTTGTCGTCCTAGCAATGGATTTTAACGTTTAATTTATGAATATAAGTTTAGTTAAAAGAATGTATTATTTCTAGGATGGATGCCCGTGATTTGCACATATCACTTGAACAGGTTTGTACTTTAGAGTGTC